GAACCAATGACGTCTCTCCGCTCACCGACAGGAAGTGAAGTGTCTGTTCTCCGTAGTACGAAGCTCCACTTTTATCTACCTCAGTACTCGACGTCACCAACACGGCAGAGCCTGAGGGACAGGAAGCGTTAGGGACACGCAAGGACCTGCAGAGACAGCTATAGAAAACACTCCAAGACCAGGACAACCAGGACCGCAGCCCAAGGACCAGGACCTCCTGGACTCGGGCCGCTCTCCCACCTTTCTTGTTCCACTGCATGCTGACTCTGTCGGCCTTGAAGAAGCTCTTGTTGGCGAGAGCAGCAGTAGGTCCTCCCAGAACGGGGTACTGGTACAGACGGACAAACGAGGGGGCTCCTTTACTGCCCGGGACGTAGACGGCAACCTGGAGGGAACAGACAGAGACGGGATGGGAAGAGGACTCGCTTTAAACCTCCCGCTCTCCCTTTGCCGGTTGCTCACCTTGCTCGGCTGACCTCCAGGGGACACAACAAAGTCCGACACTTTCTGCATGTGGAGCTTGTTGGCGATCAGGTCTGGAGAGAGAGGAAGCGTCAGCTGTAGTCTGGGACACGACCCTGGTGGAAACACGGTGTTTACTTACTGAAGTCGTTGTTCTCATAGAAGTGAAGCTCGTTGTTGACGCTCCTCACTGAGATCTTCTCGTCCTCTGACCAGCTGGGACACCTGCAGCCAATCACGGCACAGAGCTCCAATATGAGACTCACGACCCCCCAGAGTGTGTGTGTGTGTGTGTGTGTGTATAATCACCATGAGTCCAACTTCTTCTGATACAGAGCTTTGATCAGCTGACCGCTCTGTAGGTCCCACAGCTGGAGATTCGCTTCCCCCTGAGCGCCGTCTTTAGCCTCTGACAACACATGTTAATGGAGGCGTTATGAAACAACATGTAGAGCGTCAGATCACAAAGTGTTGAGTAAAAGTCATGGGGTCTTGTCGTCTTGTTGTTGTCTCATTGTCCTCTTGTTGTCTTTCTTCTTACTGCTGTACGGTTGCCAGGTGACCAGAATGTTGTTGAGAGGAGAAAAATCCAGCAGCGTTGCCTTCGGGAGGTCGAAGGTGGAGACGAGTGAGCCATCTGAAGACTTGACCACAGACACACTGACAGGTGGACAGACGGTTAGTTGTCAATAATCATATGAACATAACGCACAATAGTAATATTATAGAACAGTTACTTGAGTCCGTTGCACCAGCCAAACAGCGTCCCGTCTCTGCTGAAGGAAACACACCTGCTGGGCCGAGCGTCCCTGAGACACAAAGATACACCTGTCCCACCTGTGTAGACACACTTGTGTACACATGCTAATGCTAATGCTAATGCTAATGCGATGTGTTACCTCTGGAAGGAGGAGTGCTGCTCACACGAAGGAGGACCAGAGAGGAGAGACGTGCCATCTGATCCACGCACTGAAACACACACACTCATGTCATTTATGTACACTTACGTTTTTGAATCTTCATCTATTTAGCTGAATTAAATTGATGTTAAACCACGTTTGTGGTTTAAAATCTACTCTGAAAGAATGGAACCTTAATTGGGGAGGTCTAAATCCGATGTCTGCCGGAATTCGTAAGGAAATCCATGAATTAGACATATCCGCGCTCACCGACTAATCACCCGTCACATCAAATGACATTGAAGACTGGTCCTGTACCAACAAACGTGCCTCTTTCATTCGGCAGAAATATCGTCTTTAACACGAAACAGATTTCAGAGCTTATGCCGTGTTTGTTCCGAACCAAGGGCTCATTTCTACTCTCTGACGCTTTCAGAGCACGTGATCCCGCTTTAGAAGGTGATCATTTTACATATTGGATTTCCTCTTGTGAATTTTATGCAACGGAATAAATCGGCAGACTATATTGATTCAATGACGTCTGTACTTCTCTTTGGGACGTAACTGTGTCAACTAAATATGCTTGGTTTTGAACAGTTTGCCGCCATCCTTCTTCATCTAAAAGAAGTGACTCGAATCAGGTTCGCTGGTGTGCGCGCGCCTGGCCTTTGCCGTTTGCCGGTTGCCGGTTGCTCGGTAATACAAACACAACAAACGGTCCCAGTAAACTTAAATTACCCACCTGCTAACAGCGGGATGGTGGGCGCCATGTTTACGTGTGCCGGAACAAGAAAGGGCGCTAACCGGAAATACGTGAGGCCAGAAGTAGGCGGGTCTCTTAGTGCCACATCAGCATACGGTCCCCTCACCTCTTCTATACGTCATTTAAAAACAGTTCAAATGAGTTTAACCCTAATATTCTGACAATTAATACATCTTTCAACCAACAAATACATGTTATGTTTTCAATAAATTCCCAAGAGGTTGATTTTATTCATTTATTATGTCCAATGATGCATCAAGTTGTTGAGGAGCCATTAAGAGTAAAGTCACTTCCGTTTCCAGAGTAAAAGCCGCGTGTTGTTTGAGGAAAATACGTTTTATGAATTAGGAAACACTAGCAGTAACCTTCAAGTATTTAGTCAAAGAAACAAAGAAAGTAATTTCACTTAATACAACGGCTTTTATAGTACAATGGAGGGTCTTTGCACGTGACCGTGGTGCATGGATTAGGGAGTGTTCGCTGGGAACTGCAGGGTTGGCGGTTCGAAACCTGGCTGCTCCATGTCCCATGTCGAAGTGTCCTTGATACATTTCCTGTATGTCTAAAATAATTAGCAATACAAAATTCCACGTTCTACTTGGACCATAATTCAGTGGGAATATTGTACTTTACTGCTCTACAAAAATCTGATTGAGAATGAAATGTGTTATCAACTCATAAATTATGTAACTATTATGTAATTGTATATTAAATTAGTATTTCGAATGAGGTCCATCTTTAAAGTACATTACTTAGAGCATTTATTATAATTATCATTATCATTATTACATATTATACACCTTGGCATTAATACTTTTACCGAAGTATGTGACTACTTGCACCACCTGATTATTCTCAGTGAATCATGGATTTTTAATCTATATATCAATAATCAAATTAGATGCTTTAAGCTCTGCTTTGGATACAATGAACTAGGATGTATTTTTACTCATAATCTAACCTTTACTTTGTTGATCTTAGAAATGTGATCAATAACTCACGCCGACAAAAGACAAGACTCACAGTGAGAACTTTACTGTGGAAGAGGGCACCGGAAGCTTTATTTTGACACACAGTAGCTTCATTCAGGAAGTGTCTGGCTTGTGGGCGCGGCTTAACCATTGTGAGTACGTCGACAAGAGAGAGAAGCCCCGAGCCGTCAGCCGCGTCACCGAGACGAGTCGAAGACGAAGAAGAAAAGAGCCGCTCGCGAATAAATACACGACTAAAAACCACCAAGAAGACAAGAGGAAAAGAAGACAGATGGTGGCCAAGCAGAGGATCCGCATGGCGAACGAGAAGCACAGCAAGAACATCACTCTGCGAGGCAACGTGACCAAGTCCACGGTGAGTCCGAGGGTGCGGGGACCAGTAGACTCGATACCAGTCGTTACGGGACCAGTAGACCCGATACCAGTCGTTAGGGGACCAGTAGACCCGATACCAGTCGTTACGGGACCAGTAGACTCGATACCAGTCGTTACGGGACCAGTAGACCCGATACCAGTCGTTAGGGGACCAGTAGACCCGATACCAGTCGATACCAGTCGTTACGGGACCAGTAGACCCGATACCAGTCGTTAGGGGACCAGTAGACCCGATACCAGTAGACTCGATACCCAGTCGTTACGGGACCAGTAGACCCGATACCAGTCGTTAAGGGACCAGTAGACCCGATACCAGTCGTTACGGGACCAGTAGACCCGATACCAGTCGTTACGGGACCAGTAGACCCGATACCAGTCGTTACGGGACCAGTAGACCCGATACCAGTCGTTACGGGACCAGTAGACCCGATACCAGTCGTTACGGGACCAGTAGACTCGATACCAGTCGTTACGGGACCAGTAGACTCGATACCAGTCGTTACGGGACCAGTAGACTCGATACCAGTCGTTACGGGACCAGTAGACCCGATACCAGTCGTTACGGGACCAGTAGACTCGATACCAGTCGTTACGGGACCAGTAGACTCGATACCAGTCTGTGCAGACCAGTAACAATTGATTGTTGTTAATTATATTTCTATATCATTGTCTCAGTGAACAACAATCCATATTGTCAATGCAACAGTAACTTGTGATGACACAAACATGGTCGTAAGAATAAAGATCAATCAGCAGCTAATCGGTTATTATGCAAACACTCAGAAGTTATTGATCTAACTGTGTGTGTGTGTGTGTGTGTGTGTGTGTGTGTGTGTGTGTGTGTCCCAGAGGAGCGTCACTGAGGATAAAGGTGTGGGTCCCTGGTTGCTTGCCCTCTTCATCTTTGTCGTCTGTGGATCAGGTGCATCTTCCTCTTCCTCTAAATATTGAAGTTTAATTATATGTATAATGATCCACAAAATGTGTGTATGTATATATATATATATATATATATATATATATACATACACACATTTTGTGGATCATTATAGATGTTTTTATACAACGTCACAGGTTTAGTGTAGCTCCGCCCTGCTGACGACAGTGGAGGGAGGGGCGGGGCTTCAGCATAAAACCACTCTGTCTGGAGTCAAAGTGACTTCAGAGAGTAAATAAAAAATAATGAATAAACTTATTTGTTGTGTCTCAGGTGTTTGTGGGCAGAACTTCACACCACTGATCAATAACCAATAATCACATGGTTTTAAATCTTGTTTGTCTGCGGCCATCTTCCAGATTATTCAAAGCATCAGGATGGGCATGTAGTGATGTCACAAGAAAAGGGCGGGGCCAGAAAGAGCTGCTGGAGGAGGCCGCCGCCTATCAAGACCCTACGGGAAGTTTCCTAAATTCTAACAGCGTTCCACAGGCACACGACTGCCCCGCTCTTGTCCCCCCCCCCCTTTATCTGTGTTGATTTAATTTCGGCGCTGACCTTCAGTGGTTCTGTAAACAAGCCACAGATGTGCCTTTCTGTGTTTACCTGTGTTTTAGCTCCACCCACTCTGACTCCACCATATCAGTGTAACAGGAGGAGGGGAGGCACAGTCTTTAATCAGGACCAACATACCCCTTCGACCATTCCAGCTTCAAGCCTGATCGGAGATCTGTCCTTCTCCTCTCTTCCCCCCCCCCCCCCAGATGAAATTAGGTCTTTTGAATCAGAAGGTTTGAGGTGTTGAAGGTGTGTTTGCACCGTGTGCAGCTTCACCTGAACAATCGCGTTCAATAAATAAAGAATAAAGTTTCATTTTAAAGATGGATGCCATGTTTGTTTGTATGCATGTGATAAAGTTGGTGTTGATAAGTGTTTCAATTGGATATAATTAAAGTAACATCCAATCACAGCTCTGCTTTGAGATGATGCAACATTCAAACCACACAGGCCTCAAATCCGAACTACAGACATTTTATTAAGATGTAAACACAGGTGTCATGTGTGTTGGTGTGACAAAGTATTTATCTGTGAATCTTTTGATCAACCTGATTATATATCAATAACAATCTATTGATTGACCTAATCATATCATGCAGTATTAAATCAGAACCTTCAGCAGAAATAAATATTTTCATCGTTGTAAAGGGTCATAACTAAGAGAACGATGAGGGTTATGATGTCATGCCAATCTATCTACACCTATAGGAGGTCCTACAGGACTATGAGGAAATGGACAGGCGTTCCTTCTGGAGGAACCAGTGTAACACGGTCCAAACGTGCTGTGAACTTCCTATTTTGATATGAGAGACCGTTATGTGAAGGTTCACCACTTCTGTGGTTTAGTCCTCAGCTGTTGGTCGGCTGCTCTGGTTTCAGTCGGATGGACCAGGAATTGGCGGACACGATGTCCCCCCCCCGGTGGATGCGACAGGTGTAGACACCCTCGTTGAACTCGTTGGCCACGATGCGGAGGTCTCTGTCCTTCACCATGATGTAGCCGGGGATAGAGTTCAAGATCTGCTCGCCATCTTTGTACCAGCTGCAGGAAAGAGATGGAGACATGTGGTTCTGGTTTGCAGAATCCTGGAATTCCCACTAGTCCACGTCCCTATTGTCTCCACTGCACCCTATCCCCACTGTACCACTGGACAACGTTCACTCTGCACCACGTCCCGGCTGTCCCCACTGCAACACGCGCCCTATTGTCCATACTAGACCACGTCCTGGTAAGCAATCATATCTTGATGTCTGCGGAGCCTTTGAGCGTTCATGGCGGGTGGAGCTGCTCACTTTTCATGGTCAGTTGTTGTCACATGATCGCAGTACATGACTTTCAGGGTGCCTGACCACCGGTTCCATCGATTTAAGGAATTAAAAAAAAATCATTTCCATTATTGATCAACTGGCCTGACTTTGGGCGGTAAGCGTAGGTTCTTCGTTCCACAGCGGAAACCGACCACCTTTCCTCGAGGAACCATCTTGATCTTCACGTTAGTTGGTGGCAATGTTGGTGTGGCAACTGCTTCCAGAGGCTCTGGAAGACAGGAAGTAAGTTTCAAACCGGAGACGAGCGACTGACCTCAGAGAGACGATCCAGTTTCTTTGTCACCGTAGCAGAGGTCACATCGCTGAGGACAGTTCTTCTTCATGAAGACTTTCCTCCGCTCACAGAAGCCCAGAAGAGCCCACGGACCACAGACCCGCTTCTTATCCAGACAGCCTGCACAAAGACAGGAAGTACCACATCCTTTACTACAAGTACTGCAAGTATGACCGGAAATACCACATTGTTTACTACAAGTACAGCAAAAAGTATCATATCCTTTACTATAAGAAATGCAAGTACCACATCCTTTACTACGGTACTATTTATTTATTTTGCAGGGACAATGCACACCAATCAACAGTTGCACTGTGAGTGAGCTGGAGTTAGCTAGAGCAGATGTTTTAAGGTATCCCTAAAACTTGAACAACAGGAAGTAACACATCCTTTATTATAACTACGACCAGAAATGCCACATTATTTACTACAAGTACTATACGAAGCGCCACATTTACAACAGTACTATAGAAAGTACCACATCCTTTACTACAAGTACTGAAGGAAGTACCACATGCTTTAATACACCACAGGACGTGATACACCACAACATACTGCTATTGTTGGCGATTGTTTGTGGATCCAGAAGTGTATTTATTGTGTCTTTATGCCATTGCTTTCATCTAAATCTGTTCTAGGGCATTAACTAATATCAGATCACCATGTTGATCTATTTCGCCTTACTGAAACGTGGTTGTTGAATGGAGAATATGTCAGCTTAAATAAAGCGACTCCTCCAAGTCATGTTAATATTCATATTACTCGAGGCACAGACCGAGGGAGTTCTTAACGAGTTTGGTCCTTAAAACGGACCAGAACGTCATTGTTGTGGGTGATTTGAACATTCGTGTGGATGTCGACAGGGACAGACGTGGTACTTTGTTTCCCTCATTGTTAGATTCAGTTGGTTTCTGTCAGAGTGTAAAACAAACACACCCTCGACTTGGTTCTTGTGTGTGGGATTGGGACTGAACATCTAACAATCTGTCCACAGAACCCTGATAACCTTTGAATTTCTACCACCAGAATCTCCTCCTCCTGCCAAGGGTTCCTACAGTCGACATACCGAGTGTAGCCTCATTTAAAGAAGCCATTCCTTCTGCTCTACGTTCAAGGATCCTGTCTCAAGATTCCCAGAAGACTGCTGTGAGAACTTCAGTCTGTCCCAGATGGATCATCTGGTCGATGCTGCTACAGGCTCTCTGAGAGTGGCGCTGGGAACGCTATTGCTCCTCTGAAGGAACAAGAAAGAAGTCTGCTCCCGTGGTATAACCCTCAAACCCGAAACCTAAAGCAAACTGTGCAGAAACTTGAACGATTATGGCGTTCCACCATAATATCGCTTATAGTTAGGGCTGGCTCAGGTTAGCCTGGACCAGGCCCTTAGTTAAGCTGCTATAGGCCTAGACTGCCAGGGGACTTACGACACATCGAGCTCCTCTCACTTTCTATAAAAATTCACATCTCATTAATACACATCACTGATTCTGCTTCTTTCCAAGTTGTTGTGCTTTCTCTACTCTGAAGTTTCCCTGCTGACACCTACAGCTTCTAACACCATTGTTGTTCCTAATACTATTACTGTCGACATTAATGCACAACACTAACTTTGTTTCTTCCACGGAGTATTTGTGCTTTCTCGCCTCACAGGTTTCCATGGATCATGGTTCTATCTGGACCCCGTTCCTGCCTCCTGCCGTGACCCTGCTGACACCTGCTGCTATCATCATCATCATCATCATTATTATATTATTTTAAATATTAATCATATTACTATTACTGTCATCATAAACCAACATGACCCTTTCCTAAAGTCTTTGTGCTCTCCCGCCCACAGGCTTCTGTGGATGGTGGTTCTATCTGATGGTGGTTCCCCCTTATGGTCGTTCTATCTGATGGTGGTTCTATCTGATGGAGGTTCTATCTGATGGAGGTTCTATCTCATGGAGGTTAGGGTCACCTGCTTACTACTCTACATATTTGAATCATCTCTGTCGTATGAATTGAATGTGTCGTTCATCTTCTACATTGTTCATTGTGTCCACATGACGTCATTGTAGTCTGTCCATCAGGAGACGGATCCTCTGACTCTCACTGAGGTTTCTTCTATTTTTTGCCCATGGAGGGTTTTTTATTTTTTGAGTTTTTCCTTTTTCTGTCCTGTGAGGGTTTCAGGACAGAAGATGTTGCAGACTGTATCAAGTAGTGCAGGAAATACCACACCATGGAAAAAGTACTACAGGAAGTATTCAGTGTCCACAACTAAGATATGGTTATTTAAATAACCTTGTGTGTAATAACATATATTGTGTGAGCTGTAATATGAGACTCCTACAGGAAGTGCTGCCATGCTGGTTGTTACCGTAAAGTCTCTGGATGCCCCACACGTCGTCTTGGGCGACGTTTCTCTGGCCCGTGTAGGTGGCGTTGGGATGCATCAGAGCCTGAGGATGTCTGGAGTGCCACAGACCCAGAGCATGACCGATCTCATGAGCTGCCACCTGGACCAGGTCATTCAACCACACACCTGTAGAATCACATGATCAACACCTGTAGTCACATGATCTACAGCTGCATTGTCACAATGACTAATAATCATTCACAAGTGTCCATCCCTGTGAAGCTTTACACATCCATGAGAATCTATGTGATTGAGAGCAACGTGTAAACATACATGGCCAATGAAGCACATTCGGATTCGGATTATTCTGGCCGAGATTAATACGATAAAATGTTTCACCTTGTTTCCAGCTGATCCTAGTACTTGTACCTTGTTTCCAGCTGATCCTAGTACTTGTACCTTGTTTCCAGCTGATCCTAGTACTTGTACCTTGTTTCCAGCTGATCCTAGTACTTGTACCTTGTTCCAGCTGATCCTAGTACCTTGTTTCCAGCTGAACCTAGTACTTGTACCTTGTTTCCAGCTGATCCTAGTACTTGTACCTTGTTTCCAGCTGATCCTAGTACTTGTACCTTGTTTCCATCTGATCCTAGTACTTGTACCTTGTTTCCAGCTGATCCTAGTACTTGTACCTTGTTTCCAGCTGATCCTAGTACTTGTACCTTGTTTCCAGCTGATCCTAGTACCTTGTTTCCAGCTGAACCTAGTACTTGTACCTTGTTTCCAGCTGATCCTAGTACTTGTACCTTGTTTCCAGCTGATCCTAGTACTTTGTTTCCAGCTGAACCTAGTACTTGTACCTTGTTTCCAGCTGAACCTAGTACTCGTACCTTGTTTCCAGCTGAACCTAGTACTCGTACCTTGTTTCCATCTGAACCTAGTACTCGTACCTTGTTTCCAGCTGAACCTAGTACTCGTACCTTGTTTCCAGCTGAACCTAGTACTCGTACCTTGTTTCCAGCTGAACCTAGTACTCGTACCTTGTTTCCAGCTGAACCTAGTACTTGTACCTTGTTTCCAGCTGAAGCTAGTACTCGTACCTTGTTTCCAGCTGAACCTAGTACTTGTACCTTGTTTCCAGCTGAAGCTAGTACTTGTACCTTGTTTCCAGCTGAAGCTAGTACTTGTACCTTGTTTCCAGCTGAACCTAGTACTTGTACCTTGTTTCCAGCTGAACCTAGTACTCGTACCTTGTTTCCAGCTGAACCTAGTACTTGTACCTTGTTTCCAGCTGAACCTAGTACTTGTACCTTGTTTCCAGCTGAAGCTAGTACTTGTACCTTGTTTCCCAGCTGAACCTGGACTTGCCGAGGATCCAGAACTCGTGGTTGTCAAAATGGATTTCTCCTCGCGGGCGGCAGGAAGGCGTGAGCCAGCTCACCATTCAGACCATCAAAACACGGGTGGAGAGGAGACCACCAGCAGTCCGTGTGGTTGAAGGTATAGAAACCTAACACACCCACACACACACAGAACATCGATACATACACACTAAATTCAAAAACTATCGTTTCTGTCTACCTCATTTTCTTTGTGTGTGTTTTATTTTGAAACTTCTCCACGTCCTGTCTACCTACCGATGGTAATGTCGGCGGTGGCGTTGCTGTCGCGAATCTCGCTGAAGGTCAGCGGAGAGACGTCGCTCCACTTGGTAAAGGCGATGCTGATGGCCTTCCTGGTGTCCTCAACATTCAGGGTGTTTGGAAACGCTGTGATCCTGAGGGACAGACAGGGAGACAGAGCGAGACAGGAAGAGACAAACGGGGAGAGAAAGAGAGAGAGATTTTTTTAAAACACTTTCACGGATTTATATATTTTACACTTTAAGCAATATGACCAAAGTGCGATTTTTTCTTTTGTTGTTTTTTCCTTTCCCAAAATAAATGTAATCACGTGATAAAAACTTCAAATACCAGCTCGCCATTGACCACAGAACAAACAATATCGTTAAAACACCAGCGTCCAAGTCCCCAAAGTGTTTGTAAAACCTAAACTCCAGCCAGAGCCCTGATGATGCACAACCACGTCACCTTCGCCTCCTGCCCCTCTCGGTTCTCCACTCTGTTTTTCCTGCTTAAATAAATGACCATTTGGGCCCCTCTGCACAGAAAGTCAAGGAGCTGCCATTTTTCTTTTTCCGTTGTCTTGTAGGCAGCTCCCATAATAAAAACTCTTTCCGTAAAAAACACGCTAAAAAGACTAAAAACCAATGTTAAAAGAGAACTTCTTTTTTTTCTTGAGGACTTCAATATGTCCTCGCTCTCCTGTGGACTCGCTTAAATGCTCTAGTTCCACGGTATCAGTCTCCGGGTCCGTCATAGATCTGGTGATGTCTCTGGTGACGTTGAAAGTGTGCTGCTGACCAAGACGCCCACCACAGCCTGAGACCACTGAAATCACTCTCCCTCAGCCTAAAAACACTCCAGAAATATAAAAGGCTCTAAAACGCTAAAATGCTTATCAGATGTTAAAATCAGAACGCTCTTTTTGGCAAAATGTTCCTAATAAAAACATTACACACCAGCAGGGAATGATCTGTGAAAACAGCCGGCACAATGGTGCACATTTAAAAAATATTAAAATGGTTTAAAAACATAAAACCGATCAAGCCTGGCTGAGGAGATTCTACCTTCTCTCAGGTGGGACCACGTGTACAGGTCTGCATGCATCCTTCTCCACATGAGACTGGACCAGCTGGGAAGCTGGATGTGGCTCTGCGGGGTTGCGGTCTGTAGACGCGTCTTCTGTACATTTAAAATCCCCCCCAAGAATAAAAAGTCCTCCGGGGCAACTTTGTGTAAAACACGTTGAAAACAACAGTAAAAAGGTGGAACCGAGCCTCGACTAAGAACAACCTCCCCTCCATGATGTGTGACCTCCAGGGAGACTGGACTGAAGGACCTGGACCAGAGGAAGCCCCCCTCCACTGAGGCTCAGCGGGACGTCCTCCTCCAGTCGGCCGCGTTGGTGCAAGAGAACATCAAGATGTTTCATTGTTTGAAATTCATAAATCGATGCTCTCTCACGTTCAGGCTTCTACTTTAAAAGTATCCATGATGAATAAAAAAGTAAAACACAAATAAGAACCAATAAATCAATTAAAACCCGGTCTGAGAAAAAAAGATCCCTCTTGTTTTTGACTTTTCGTCAAAACGCTTTTATTTGTTCTGCGAATGTCGCTGCTGTCTGACGCACGGCCGTCAGATTGCCCCCGACCCCCGCCGACCCCCCCGCCGACCCCCTCTCCCTCCCCCGCCGACCCCCTCTCCCTCCCCCGCCGACCCCCTCTCCCTCCCCCGCCGACCCCCTCTCCCTCCCCCGCCGTTCCACGCTACCCCCCTCCCTCACCCAAAGCTCCTCTCTCACCCACCAACACACCCTCATTCACCCCGTGTAGGTCAGACACGCGCAGCGGAACCGGCCGCTCGGCTCCCCGCCGCAACCGAAACATTTCATCGCCGACGATGATGCAGAACGAACTCGTAACCATCTTAAGGTGGAAGCGGAGGTTGAGCTCCACCTTCCGCTTGTTAAGTATCACAGAGGTCTGAGACCTGCATCCAGACTAGACCTTTGTGGTCGGTGAAACCACCTTTCCGGGTCTGCTGAGTTCTCTGCTGAGGAACCAGTCGGTGATAAACGGAGGGACGTTTGATAAAAGCACCTTCAGTGGCAACACCTGAACAACATGTCGTCATTTACAGAGAGCCCCGGTTCACCTTCCCCATCTGGTCCACAAAAATGACCACGGCCCCGTTCATCCGCTCACGCTGCTGTGGGCCACAGCCCGGTGTCCCCCACGCTGCCCGCAGAGCCGCGCGGGTCTTCATGCCGGCCTTTCCCCCATTTACCGACCGGCGAGACACCGGCAGGAGAAAAAACACCCAATAGACAAAACAAACTCAACCCAACCCAAACCCAACTAACTCAACTAACTAACCACATTAAAGTAAAACACATAAACTACGACGAGAACAAAGACAAACAAACACTGCTCGCTCAACGAGAGAGAGACTTCTTAGACCTCATCCAGACCTCATCCAGACTTCAGACAGACCTCTTAGAGTCTCTATAAAGTACAATATGAACTTACTGTTCTGGATTTATATTTGCCCACTGATCGATTGATCGATTGATGTATGCTCATGTACCTGTTGGTTCTAGTATTGATCTTCACCTGTATGAGATGTTGTGATGAGTCCACTTGTGTCCCAGAGGGTTGATGGCGTATCGTCTGGTTCTGGTTCCTCTGAAGGTTCCCGTCACTTTGCTGGCTGACATCTGAAGAACCCAACAACCTATTCATCAATCAATGGGATCTTCAACCAATCAGATCCTCCTAGCTGAGTGATGCACCTCCTACTGTTATTATTAGTTAGATCAATGCCAAAATATGATTCTGTAGACTTGCAGGTTTAAGGCAGAAATCTACTTCAACTCCCATGATGCATTTCAGCAGGAAATGTACTATTACAGGTCTTTAACATCTTGAACTGAAATAAAAACAACAACTTGCAGCTGAAATGAATTCACTTAATGGATTATTCTGTAACCACGGCAACGTGTTCCAAGGGAATCATCTAAGTGCTGGCTTGCTGAGGCTCATGGGTAATGCAGTTCATGTGTCTGAGACGTGGCAGCAGACGGAGACTCCTCCTCATATGGCTGTTTCCCACATGTGAACCTTGAGACCTCCAACTAAACCTGAACCAGATCTCAGCCGGACCACTTCCTGTCCCTAGACCTCCAGCTCGAACAAACAATCCTGTTATTCTACCGCCTTTCCAAGGAAACACAGAAGAAGAAGCGCTGGAGGAAAAACAAGTCCAAACTGTGTCTATGCAAACTACACACATACATTAATCAATAAACTGTTAAAATCAATAAACTCTCAAATTAATCAATGGACTGTAACGTGAATGAATACACTTCAACATTGATCAATAAACTGTTGAATATTAATAAAGTTGCTTGAAGATTCGATTAGTTTATTGAAATAAGAACTGACGGATTGATCTGATAGACGATATTGATAACTGCTGATACTACTTGTTGATCATTGCTTCGAGAAACTGAGTTGACATGAAACCGTTTTTATTGATCAGGAGCTTCATCAATTCACGATTCACTAGAGCTTCATAGTTCACTGACCTGCGCTGCTCCGCTCACCTTCATCATCAGCACCATCATCGTCATCAGCAGAGGAAGGTCCATGGTGAGAGCAGGACTAGTCACATGACCCATCAATCAATCAATCAACCGACCCGTCTGTGTGTGAGGCGTGTTCAATAAACCACTGATTCACGCAGAGACTCCCATCAGAACCTCGTGGGTCAAAAGGACGACCCGAAATTTCCCGACGGGACCAGATGGGCTGCCGGACCCGGTCCGTTCGGCTCCGGATCAAACTGAGGCAACTTCTTCTTCCCCACGGAGCGCTCGCTGCAGTGGAGAGGCTGGTCCGGAGGGGCGGGGTCGGTTGTGTGTGTGAGAAGTGTCCGTTTACACGAGCCCGCACGTGTGGAGTTTAACCCTTCCGGTTCCGATTCGGTCCTTTATCTCTAAACGTTTCCATTTGTGTGGATCTGAATGAAACATTTTATGAGTAAAGTCACATTAAAGTATTGATTGTTGACACATCGTATTTCTAACACGATAAACATCAGAACTTATTAAATGATGTTTGAGAACGTTGAGGCTGCACTCTTGGATCTTTTGGTTGTATCAGACCGAGAGAGTTGGTGTAGAGCGAGAAGAGGAGGGGACCCAGGACGGAACCCTGAGGTACTCCAGTAGTAAGAGGACAAGGTTCAACCACCACTTTGTCGGCTTTGCTTCAGAAGAGAGAGCAAAACCAATCAGGTCAAACCCAAAAGACAATTTAATCTAATGTAGCAGAATCTACAGCGAGAACTGGCAGTCCAGTCACTAAAAAACGGCAAGAGCTAAAGCAAACTATCAAATTATCATAAAACAGCACAATCAACAACACATTTAGCAGACTAGTTTGGTTTAAAGAAACAATACTTAGTCCGATTTCAGGTCTGGATGTGTGACGGCCCAGAAGTCGAGATGCACACAGCCTCATAAAACTACTGCAAACTGTTGTTAGCACCTTATATAATATATTATTCTGTCGTCATGAGTTAAACAAACTGATTTAGAATCTTTTAGCCATGGCAACACCATCATCTTCATTCAAAGAGGAACACATTGAAGTGACCCTGTGGCCCCTCAGGTACTCTACTGCTCAGCAGCAGCATCCCATAATGCTTCAGTGTTCCCAGCCGGGCGTCTCCTGGCAGCCGGAACGTCTCAGAGAGACGGACTTTCAGCCACAGCTGAAGGACGAGGATTTAATTACACGTCTTTCCATTCACCTGTCCATCACACACACACACACTGAACACACACAGAGACGGACACACACACACACACACACACGAGACTCCTATAAACACAATAAAGACGCTAAATGACTTCAGAATTATAACTTTATTTCTGACACATCGGGATACAAAAACTGTAAAAACAATAGAAATAAAAGCAGAGATGAATTCATTAAATTCAACAAACACTGAAAGCGAAGCATGCTGGGTAAACGGATCACAGACTGGCCCAATCCCAATCTCCTCCCCTCAGGGACTCACTGAGGACACCTGGTCTGGATTCTATGGGCTTTAGATGAAGGGACAGCACTTTGATGCCACATGTCACGTCACCATGACAACGTCTAAAATATGATTTACCAGTGTAGGGATTAAATTCATACTTTTTAACTCTGATTTGGACGTCTTTCCAGCTCTTTCTTCATAAAATGAGAGCTCATTTTAAATAAATATATTTTGATGTCTTTGTTCAAATTGCTTTGGTGACATTTCATATTTTATGAATATACAGTCTTTTTTATCAATCTTCAATCCTTGATGTTTCAAATGTATACATTCTCATATACAAACACTGGGACAGAACGGAACCCTCACAGAGTCACAGGGGCAGATTGGGATTCCCTCAGTGATCGGACTCTTCTGATTGGTTGGTCTGTCTCTTAAAGGAACACACCATCGGTCTCACGCGTAGTAAAGACTCAAAATTCCCCCCTGGGGATAAATAACGTATATATCTATCTATCTATCTCCATCCAGGTGCATTATGAGTAGTGTTTCTAAACATGAGTCAAGATATCAACAACTAGGACTGCATTCACTGGGACACACAATGAGGAGGAGGAGGATGATGTCGTGTCCTTCCTCAGCAGCGGGTTTCATAGATTCCACTTCGTCCGATGTAACGAACCCATTTAATGACGTCGTGATCACTGTAGTTCAGTTTGGGCTCAAACACCTTCAGGTACCTCACCTTCAGACCAGAGGGGGCAAAGGGCACCTGGGGGAGGAGTTAGACACCAATTAACCTGGTTGTACTTAGTTACTTGTACAGGTGAACATGATGCTTATTCATAATGAATCATTAATGACCTCAAAGTTCATGGAGATAGGGGGGCGGGCCCACTTCTTCTTGTCGTTGGTGGGAAGCAGCTCGATTTCAGCACTGATTTGAGACTCCTTCATGCCGGCCATCCTCTTCACCCTGGGACACAAACACCTGTTACCCAACGATGTCACACCACACCGCTTCCCTGATGATGTGACACCAAACAGGTACCCGATGATGTCACACAACACTCGTCACTTGATGATGTCACAACTGGACAAGCCACTCCCCCCCCTATGTGGATATAGATCACTCAGTGTAAAGAGACATCATGAAGTACTTCTTACTTCCACACGATGGCGTTCTCGCTGGCTTTGTATTTTGCTTTCCCCTTCATACAAATGAGCTGAACCCCGCTGGTGGTGAGGGGGGTGGGGATCCTCACCTAGGGTGGGTGGGGGGTTGTACTGTTATTATGAACAATCAATTTAGATAAACATTGATATTAATAGTACTGATGATGACTTGCATATTGTTATATGAATATTACCTCGATCTTCTGAGCAAGCAGAGACGACTTGAAGTTGGACTTAATGACAACTTTGACCTCCAGTCTGGTCCGCCCTACTTCTCGGACCAGCGGGATAACCCTGAACGGCAGGATGATGTCTTTGGTGGTTCGATACCTGCAAACAGATGGACACACGCTCAGGCCTCACGTCTCACGGCCTCACAGTGTGTTTATGTGTGTTAGTGTGACCTCTGACCTCATGAGTTCGTAGTCTCCATCAGGAGGGATGAAGCTGATGCTGCGTTCAGTGTCAAACTTGCTGAGACGAACACACTGATGGAAGGTGCAGTCATCAATGGCTATGGACTGTTTACCACTGAGGAGAGGGGACAGTTCAGAACCTCTATTGGAGAACCTTCTCTCTAAAGGAAATTACACACAACTTCAGCTGGAAGACCTCCTCTCTAAAGGGAAAGGACTCATAACTTCAGCTGGAAGACCTCCTCTCTAAAGGGAAAGGACTCATAACTTCAGCTGGAAGACCTCCTCTCTAAAGGGAAAGGACTCATAACTTCTGCTACAGAACCCTTGTCCTCTGCTCCCCTCTGATTCGACCTCTGTGAGAGAAACCACGGTGCAAGCGAAGGATGCGGGACAGGGACTTGGTTCAAGAGACCAACTGCTGATGAGAAAAAACTGTTTGTCTAATCCTGATGGACCTCAGCCTCCTGCCAGATGGAAGGGGCACAAACAGGTTTTGTTCGGGGTGAGAGGGGTCGGCTACCATCTTTTTAGCTGCTTCAGAGACCTGGAAGCAAACAAGTCCTGCAGGGACGGCAGATTGCAGCCGATCAGCCTCTCTGCAGAGCGGAGGACACGCTGCAGCCTGCCCTTGTCCTTGGCTGTGGCTGCAGCGTACCAGACGCTGATGGAGGAGCAGAGGATGGACTCCATGATGGCCGTGTAGAAGTGGACCATCATTGTCTTTGGCAGGTTGAATTTCTTCAGCTGCCTCAGGAAGAACAACCTCTGCTGAGCCTTCTTGGTGATGGAGCTGATGTTCAGCTCCCACTTGAGGTCCTGGGTGATGATGGAGCCCAGGAAACGGAAGGAGTCCACAGTGGTGACGGGGGAGTCACACGGGGTGATGGGGGAGGGTGGGGCTCTGTTCCTCCGGAATTTCACAACCATCTCGACTGTCTTTAGAGCGTTGAGCTCCAGGTTGTTCTGACTGCACCACGACACCAGATGGTCAGACTCCACCTGTAGGCAGACTCGTCCCCACCAGAGATCAGTCCAATGAGGGTGGTGTCAAAGAACGCAGCCTTGGGGGGAACCGATGCTGATGGTCCGAGAGGCTGAGACATGTTTCCCCAGCTTCACGTGCTGCTTCCTGTCAGACAGGAAGTCTGTGATCCACTTGCAGGTGGAGTCGGGCGGTGCAGCTGGGAGAGTTTGTCCTGCAGCAGAGACGGGATGATGGTGTTGAAAGCAGAGCTGAAGTCCACAAACAGGATCTACAGGATGTAGTGGAGGACCATGTTGACAGCGTCGTCCACAGACCTGTTGGCTCTGTAGGCGAACTGCAGGGGGTCCAGGAGGGGGTCGGTGAGGGACTTCAGGTGGGTCAGGACTAGCCGTTCAAAAGACTTCATGACTACAGAGGTCAGGGCTGCAACGATTAGTCGACGTAATCGATGACGTTCATTATAAAAACTTGTCGACGCGGATTTCTATCGTTGATGCGTCGTATATTATAAAAAGATTCAGAGCTACGGGTATTTTTCATTCAGCATTGCAATACACTACAGGAAGTGTGGGGGCGCTATGGCTTCTATTTGTCACGGTTTGGGTTTATTTACGGCTTTACTTTGTAGTTTCCTGCCTCTTGAGTCCATTTACCTCGTCTTCTCCTCACGGGTAAGTTTAGCTAACTAAAGTAACGCTAGCCTTGTTAGCTTATCATAAGGTTTAAACTTAACGTCTCGTGGAGGATGCTTGCTAATGCAATGTAGTAAATGGGTAAATTATTGTACCCTGTCTTTTCGTTTGTTCTGAATAGTACTTACTATACTTTTACTAATGCATATTTGCACTTACATTTTGTATTACTATTCAATGTATTTATTAGAATAATTACATTTGTATTAACTTGTTACTCAAATACATTTGAAGTTCAAAATCCAAAGTTATTGGATGGAAATAAACGGTCACACGCTGTAGCCAAAAGGAATACTTGCCTCTTTGTTTGTTTCCACGCTCCTACACTGGTAGATAATCGTTAGATTGGTCGACTAATCGAAAAGATAGTCGATAGATTAGTCGATTACAAAGAGGTCAGGGCGACGGGCCTGTAGTCATTGAGTCCTGTGATCCTGGGCTTCTTGGGGACAGAGGTGATGGTGGAGGCCTTGGTCTCCATGGAGGTGTTGAAGATGTCAGTGAACACCGGAGACAGCTGTCAGCACAATGCTTCAGGGTGTGAGGGGAGACTGAGTCCGGGCCGGCTGACTCACGGGGCTTCTGTGATTTAAATGTCCTATTGACGCCCCTCTCTGGAATGGAGAGGCGTCGATGTGATGGAGGATGTGGGTTTTTTGGGGGGGCATGGGCCCCTGGGGGTGTAAAGGCTGTGAATGACAGCTTGTGGTTCATGAAGTCGGGGGCTTTGGGCTTGTAGTTGCAAATCATTCTGAAGCTTTTACAGACTGATGTCTCTGGTAAAGGACGGAGAACCTCGTCTCTAAGGGAAAGGACTTGTAACACGATGTCTCTGTAACTACATCTAAGCTGATGACAGACAGAAAGTTATGTGGAGGTGGTGACCTCTGACCTCTTGGCCACGTCCTCTGAACCTCCTCCTTTCCCCTGCTTGTCGATGACAATCTTGTCGTTCATGCCAAATTTGCACTCGGGCATCCCGCTGAGGTAACTCTTCATCACCACGCGGCCGGAGACGTGGGCGCTGAGCACCTGACCTGCAAACAGAGCCAGAGACGAGCAGGATGTGACATCACGCTGCCTCACCATCTCTGAGGAGCTGAAGGCTAGCTGCTAACTGCTGCTAACATTTATAAAGCTCCTGAGCCGGGGGGCCTCATGGTGATAGGGCGTTACCTTTAGAGGATGTTACCTTTGGGGGAGATACTTTGGGGTGGGGGGACTGGCCTTCTGACGACAGTACCCTGGAGGGACGTAACCTTGGGGGTGGGGGACGTTACCTTGGGGAGACATGAGCAGGTTGACGCTTTCCAACACGTCCAGGAAGAGCTCGTTGCGTCTGTATTTGATTCCTTCTCGTCTCCAGCCGATCTGACCGGTGACTTGACTGGTGATCTGAGACTGCTCCTCTTTGGTCTGTGTTTCAACAATAGCAATATTAATATTACCCACAGTATTAGAGCTGTGTGTGTGTGTGTGTGTGTGTGGACTCACGTGGTGCTGCAGGACAAAGCAGGACCAAAGAAAAACAAACAGGAAACCGTGAGTTCCACAATAAACCACATTAGGTTGGTTTTTAGATATTAAATAACTTGCCTGACTCTTGATTCCTTGCTGGGTGATGAAGGTTTTCAGAGCTCCGGTCTCTGAGTTCTGAGGGTACCCAAAGTCCAGAATCTCTGCAGGACACAAACACTGTTAGCAGCCAACAAACAAACAAATTAACAAAAAACATGTGACAATTATTCTGCAGCTTGGAGTCAACTCTCGTCAGCGCTGTATTTTCTTTAGATTTAGATTTTCTCATCCAAGTCCAAAAATCAAAACCTAAAAAAACCACAGAGCGGCAGATAGATGGCGGCTTCGAGGAGGAGGAATGTCTTCCTGTTGGAGACAGAATGAGACCTTCTGTCCACATGTTCAGAGTTAGGGTTTTTTTGCCTGATGATGAAATACTTTTAAATAACCTTTAAAAACATATTTGTACGAACTTTTAATGTTATACATTTCTATTTATTATTATCCGGTTATCATTTGAATTATTATTGTTATTATTATCATCAATGTTATCATACGTTATTATTATAGTCGTCATTGTTTTTATCATCATGGTGAATGTTGCCGTGGTTACCGTCCAGCAGCTCGTAGATCAGGACGAAGTTGTTCTTCACGTTCTCCTCGCTGATCTTGCCGAAGTAGGCGGCCATGACGTCACACATCTTGTAGAGGAACTCGAACACCATGGTGGCGTTGACGTTCTGCTTGGTGGCGGCGGCCAGCCAGATGTTGGAGCGCTTCACGTGCAGGAAGCTGGTGCGGGCGATGTTGGTGACGGGTGAGCGCACCTGCTGCCGGGCGTGAATCACGTTGACCCGGAAGGCGTCCACTGCGTTCCTCCTGGAGACACGAGAAAAAAACGTAGTATCATGACTCCGTTCAACGGACCCCTGGTGACGTGGGCTGCGACCTTTAGGACTCACCCAATGTCATCGCGATAAACCCTGGAGATCAGCACCTCGCCCTTGTGGTTGTAAATGAAGAGTCCTCCAATCATGGCTGCACCTGTCACTCACAGCTGATCATAATGAAGAGAACTTCACACAGGTTGAGGAGGCGGAGCCTACTGAACAGCTGATCTGATGCAGAAGGTTTTCAGTGACCTGCCAACACAGAAGAAGATCAAAGGAACTTTTATCTGAGTCTTTGTATTGTAGCCGTGTCTCAAAGTGAGCTCATGCAAGTTATGAACCTGAAATATCACTTTAAGTCAGTAACATTACATCATAAATACACAAAGAAACTGAACTCACTTTGCTGCTTTTGCTTTGTGATCATAAACTTTATATTTAGCTCACTGTTACTGTTTTATGGAGCAGGAGGAAGCATCAAGCTGAAGGAGATGTGTGTGGTGACATTAAGCTGCTGTAGCGTGGACATAGTCTGTAATATTTTACAGTTAAAATAGCTCGTATCCTATGCAAGAAAAAGTCCCAGCATACAAGTTAATAAATGTGTTTGCTGTTGTTTTTATCGACAACATTAACAACATTAATATTATTACTCAATAAACTGAGAGTAATTTTAAATCAGTATTAAATGAAGTATTATACATGAACTGATTGAATTTGAAGCTGAATGCTACTTGGGATCTTCCCTTTGACATTACGGATGCTGGTTAGCATGCTGGCCTGGATACCAACATCCTACTCATCCAGTTGAATAACCAGATTACCGAAGAAGACAGCGTTGCTCTCCAGCGGTCCTCCTGGATCTCATTCAGAGCTCCATTTAAAAAACACACATTTTAAAGTCTTCTCGTATTTGTGCCGCACATCCACACAGAACCCGTCCGGACTTTGATCGGCTGCTAAATGTCAGTTCCTCTGTTACTTTCGGGACATCGATAAACAAACATGAAGTTCCCATCGCCGAAGAATTCATCTTTGTACGGTAGAAGGGAAGCAGTTTGACTGACAGGGTGACGTCACTGCAGGGTTACGCAACGCTGGAATAAAACGTTATCGATCAAACTGATTCATGTTTGCCACTGAAAAGAAATACATGAACATAACTGCGGTTTTCTAGGCGCCGAATTAAATAGTGGTCCTTATTGATGTATTATTAATTATTAATTATTAACATGTCCGGCATCGACATCGGTACGTCGTTAAATATCAGAACGTTTTAAACGGCTGTTAGCTGTTAGCAACACCGGCTAACGTTACCGCCGCAGTCACCGCCACCGCTGCTGCGCAGTGCGGGCCGGCGGGTGCGTTACCGGGGCTCCGTGGTCCTACCGGCTCCGTAGAGGGGTCTGCTGTGTGTCCGGAGTACCGGGCCCCGCCGTCACTCCATCCGCACGTTTGACCGTGAGAAGTATCCGGTCTCCTCCGGTCTGAGGCAAGATGTCTGACGGCAACCCGGTCCGGCCGCGTCCGGTTTCAGAACCCCCCCCTTCTGCTTCTCCACGCAAGGCTACGTGGGGCGGATCGGCACGTTGCCCGTTAGAAGCTCAACTTGTTGGTTTGACTCCCACACCGGCAGGTTACCGGATGCTTTTCTCCCGCTCTGACCGCGCACCCAGACCGAGGCACCGGGGAAGCGGATTGGGACGCGTCCGTCCCTCCTCTCCACCCGAATCTGGATCGTTGTGCTGTGCTCCTCCAGCATCACTAGGACACCAGGTCCAAGGACACCATGCAGGTCTTCAGAGGGGCCCTATGACGTCATCGGGCTCCAAAGACACTAGACACGTCTCAACATAAAACGGTTAGACCAGCAGGGGCTATTGGACAAAGGCAGAATAAAGAAATCCAGTTTAAGTGAAAAGGTTCAGCTTGACTTAGTTTGATCTTAATCGGTTGCACGGGATGAGGAGGAGGAGCTTAGTCCATCCAGATGCACACAGCTGGATCAGTGCACGTTCACGCTTTCTTAAGTAGACCACGGTGTCCATCACACATCTACTGATGCACAGATGGAGAAGACGCGCGCAGCATATTTTTAACCCGCTGAGCAGCAACTAATTATGGAAACTTCTGAGGAGGTGAAGCCTCTAATATGCAAAAAGGGAAAAACGCAGCTGTAATTAAACAGAGAAAAGCCTGTTAGACAATCGCTGACCGACGGAATGACGAAGGGTCTAAAAATATCTACTTACTTACAGGAAAATTCTCTATAAACTGTGTCAAATATCTTAATATACAATTAATGTTCATACAGAACAAACAATACTGGACAAAAAAGATCCTGCAACAGGTCAAGATAAAATATAAAAACATTTTGCAGGCTGGTAAGTTTGCAAATGGTGTTGAAATTACTTACAATATGTGAGCATGCGTCTTCTTTCTAAACTGATTTCAGCAGTGAAGAAGAAGGCCCAGTTGTCTGGAGGAGGGGGGGGAATTTGGTCCTTGTTTTAAACCAAGGCAGCCTGTGATGGGGGGATTCAGGGTGGGACAGACACTGACTGTGTCCAGAAACCACCCTCTTTGATGTGACACATTCTCCTGTGCAGGGAGGGTAATAAAGATGTGAGCCAAGGACAAACCCGGCTGCCCCATGTTCCATGTCGTCGGTCTACTTCTCCCCCGTTATTTCTCCATCTTTAGTATCCGCCGCCGGACCTTCTTACGGTTAAATATCACATAAAATAATACCGTGAAATATCGTCTCACATGAAAACGGTCCGTGAGGCAAAAAACTGCAATTGTAGGTTTAAAACTTGGTGACAGCAATAGTGACAAGTAATGCATGTTAATGGAAATAAATCCGAACACATTCAGAAGACAACGGAATAACTGTTAACCACGTTTGTTTCGGATCAGAGCAGCAGCTGATTAGCCTGGATGTTAGCCCGGCGGTTAGCCCGGATGTTAGCCTGGTCTAGCCCGGCTGTTAGCCCGGATGTTAGCCTGGCTGTTAGCCCGGCAGTTAGCCCGGATGTTAGCCTGGATGTTAGCCCGGCGGTTAGCCCGGATGTTAGCCTGGATGTTAGCCCGGCAGTTAGCCCGGATGTTAGCCTGATCTAGCCCGGCTGTTAGCCCGGATGTTAGCCTGGCTGTTAGCCCGGCAGTTAGCCCGGATGTTAGCCTGGATGTTAGCCCGGCGGTTAGCCCGGATGTTAGCCTGGATGTTAGCCCGGCAGTTAGCCCGGATGTTAGCCTGGATGTTAGCCCGGATGTTAGCCTGGTCTAGCCCGGCTGTTAGCCCGGATGTTAGCCTGGTCTAGCCCGGCTGTTAGCCCGGATGTTAGCCTGGTCTAGAGCCTGCTAGCTGCAAAGAATAAATCACCATGGTTACTTGGGTGGGTTTAATTCAACCAACTTCCGTGCAACCAAGTCAAAGCTAAATTCATCCAGGATGACATAAATATCCCGACTTAATCCCTTATCCTGGTTTCGTGCAGGAGCCCTCAGATCAGAGTACATTGCATTTTGTTTTTAACCCATGGTTTTTACATTTTGCCCGGGGAGCCATTATGGGTCAGGTGTCTTGCTCAGTGACACGGGACATGGAGCAGCCGGGACTCAAACCGCCAACCTTGTGGTTCCCAGCTCTACTCCATCGCCCCGTCGCCTCCACAAAAGAACACTACTGCGTTACAGTTGGAATACTAATACCACGCAATATTAATACTTTGGGTTATCATTGCATGTACTCTCAGGCAACATTTGTACTACAGTATTTGTGTAACTGTAAAAAGCCGCGTTCTAATACTGCAGTAAATAGTGGCATTCCTGTACTAGTTTGTGTGCACAGTGCGGAGCGGAAACAACTTAACCAGCAGAAGCAAAAACAGAAATGTACTAACTGGCCCTCCAAGTTATTAGAAAACATGATCATTACGATTAACAAACCTATGTTAGTTGCAAGCTAAAAATCTCACAAAAAAGTCATCACAAATGATAGTTGACCATTTTGTATTTATTTATCATGGACTATTTAAACTATAGTGAAGAAAGAGAGGTAAGAAATACTCACATGTAAATGTAAATCGTTTATTGTACTCAGGGGGAGGACGTCAGGTGATACTCACACACAAGAATGAAACAACACTACGATGATTAAATAAACAGCAAAAACTGGTCAAAAGAGCCAGGTGTCCCTGGTCTCTGTGGTCTCCCTGTCTCTGTGGTCTCACTGGTTTCTGTGGTCTCACTGGTCTCTGTGGTCTCCCTGTCTCTGTGGTCTCCCTGTCTCTGTGGTCTCCCTGTCTCTGTGGTCTCACTGGTTTCTGTGGTCTCACTGGTCTCTGTGGTCTCCCTGTCTCTGTGGTCTCCCTGTATCTGTGGTCTCACTGGTCTCTGTGGTCTCCCTGTCTCTGTGGTCTCCCTGTCTCTGTGGTCTCACTGGTTTCTGTGGTCTCACTGGTCTCTGTGGTCTCCCTGTCTCTGTGGTCTCCCTGTATCTGTGGTCTCACTGGTCTCTGTGGTCTCCCTGTCTCTGTGGTCTCCCTGTCTCTGTGGTCTCACTGGTTTCTGTGGTCTCACTGGTCTCTGTGGTCTCTCTGGTTTCTGTGGTCTCACTGATCTCTGTGGTCTCACTGGTCTCTGTGGTCTCTGTGGTCTCACTGGTCTCTGTGGTCTTTGTGGTCTTTATAGGGGATGTAGATGTAGGGGTGTTTATGTGTGACATAAAAGAAGACCATGATTAAGACCACCTCCTAGATGAAGGTTAGACAAATGTTTATCCTCCTTGTCTCTTGGTCTCTTTGCTAAAACCATCAGCAGCTTGTGTCACATTTCTTCAAAAGTACAAATGTGACAAAAAAATAAGAAGGTGATTTCTGACAGGAAGTGACCTCATCGTGGCAGGCTCACATGACGTCCACAAAGAAGTCCCCGGGGTTCCCCATGGCGAGGCAGAAGGACTGCTGACCTCGGGGCGACAGAGCAGGCAGGAAGTCCTTGGAGTCTTTGTTACCGTGGAGACCAGAGCAAGAGGTCGGGGGTCCCCGGGCGTTGTCTTCGGGGGACTCCACCAGCTGCTTGCCAGGCAAAAAGCTCAGTTCCTGTTTGCTCGTCTCTGATTGTCCCCCGCGTCCTCGCTGCTTCTGAGTGTCACAGTAGTTTGATCCGCCGCTGTGACTTCCTGTTCACACAAACACCATGTTACCATGACAACGGGGGGTAATAGTCATTTTAAGATATAAGATGTTGGTGCAAATTTGTCATTGATCCTTAGATTATAGGAGGATACTAGAGTGCGATCCATTACAGACGGACATGAACAAATAAATGATTAGTATAAACCATGAGATTAGTTTTTAGCCGTCAGGTCTGATGGAATGTTAGTATGGATCGATTGATCTTATTGATTTGTATTCTTAGAAAACAAACCATAAAGTAGGATTAACGTTCTATAAATAGATTATATGTGTATTTAGAATAGTGACTAATCAGTTTTTGAGTAAAATGAGATGATGTTGGTGAGTCTTTCTACATTACGGGTCATTTAGCAGACGCTTTTATCCAAAGCGACTTACTTTACACTTTAAACTTTAAACTCATGGCTTTTACATTTGGCCCGGGGAGCAATTAGGGGTTAGGTGTCTCAGGGACACTTCGACACGGAACATGGGGCAACCGGGACTCCGGCTCTACACCCTTCGCCACGACGACCCCCTAAAAGCTTGTACCATCTAGGAGGTATTGATCATGCATGATAACAACAGTTGATGATTATCATTAGGATAGAAAGCTGATGTCACCTTCACTGGGCTGACTTCCTCCCCCACCCCCACCCCAGACCGGCAGCTGGTGGAGTGGGGGAGGCGAGCTGTAGGGGTGAGGGATAGGGTACTGGTAGGGGAAGGCCGGGGGCCTCTGGGGGCCTGGTGCTGGACCCAGAGGGTCACAGTCTGATCCTCCTCCTCGACTGGAGGGTTCTTCATGATCCAGTACAGTCATCTCACACAAATCTGACAGACAGGAGGAATCAGTAGTGTTAATCCGAGGTACCGGTCCTAGGACTGCTTCTGGCACCTGAAACAGTACCTCTGACTTACCTCACTAGGATAGGTCATTTAACCAGTCCTAGTACTAGAACTGGTTAAATTACTAACCTATTTCTCACTCATAATCACCAATCATTACTAAAAACCACCGATAATCACTAATCACCGGTTAATAATTGATAGCCTTGGGTTCCTCACCTCCACACAGGTCCCTGAAGATGTAGTAGCACTGCTCGGAGAAGGTCACCTTGTTGACGGTATGCCGGATAAAACCGGCCTTCAGGAGGCTCCCAGCGTACTTACGAGCTTCTCGGCGGTCGGTGAATCCTTCGAGGCTCCGGTGGAGCCAGTCCACCACATCAGAACCTGGGGGGAGGTCTTAACTCATTCACTCCATAGCAACTGAGGCTTCGCACTGGTGTAGTCTAAGGACGCACGGATCCCACGTGGAGCGGTTGTTACATGTAGACCTCGTCTCCTCTGGTAGATCAGGTCCACCTGTGCATTCACTAGAACCTTCTGACCACAGGACCTGCTGGACCTCTTCTCCTGTGTGGACCTCCGCTTCTCTCTAGACCTTACGACCATGTGAATCTTACCTTTATGGTTTGAGCCGGACTCAAACAAAGGTCATGGTGAACTCAGCAGAACTCACACGTTAAACCATGTTGCTCTCTTGATCAATGAGACACCTAACCCGAGAAGTGAACAATGTGGACCAATAACTTCTCAGTTCTCCATCTGGAGGAGCTACTCTTACCGATGAAGGCGTTGGGGATAGTGATCTTCAGCCACATCCGGTCCCGAACCTCCAGACCCGACTCCGGGTTGGCCATTGCCTTGACAACCGCTGTCATTTCGCTGTGGATGGTCAGGTGGTTCTCC